ATTTCCGAACAAACAGAGCTATTATATGAGGCAATTGAATAACAAGTAAAAAAATCTGTACAGTATTGACCAGACCATCCAGCATTACAGGAACAATTATCATAAGAAGTGCAGTTACCATATCCATTACACACATTTGGTTCGTTAAAGTGTATTTCGTTACAAGTTGGGAATTGACACTGATCACCAAAACCTGAACTACAAAGGCAACTGCCATCTTCTTGACATTGACCATGACCATTACAAACAGTCTCACTATTACTAGCAATTCCATAACAATAATTTGGATCTGTTAAATAAGCAACGAATCCATTTGATGCTGTTGATACAGAAACATTCTTACCATCAAATTTTGGATTTAAGCCAAGGGTTCCAAAAATTGATATGAATTGATTATTATTATTCTTAACTCCATAAGAATAATCATCTTTTGAGCCTCCTTCTTTAATAGCCCAAACAGCATCTAAAGTAGTTCTTTTGAAAGCAGCAATCACAATATCCCGTCCTCCAGTACTTGTCAACTTGGTGGAACCAATTTGAATTGTACCTGCAAAGTGACCAGAAACGATTATTTCTTGATCATTTTTGTTGGTATCTATTCCTGTAAATACTACATCACCATCAATAACTAGATTTTTAGCTTCAGTAGGGGTGTTAGTACCATTCTTCAAGTAGAACATTAAAAATGATTTTCTTGATTCAGTTGGTATGACCACAGAACCAACTATGTAGATTTCAACTTTTCCTTGAGCCGTAATTATTTTCATATCGTATACATCAACATCGTTTTGATAATTTGCAATTGTAGTGGTGTGTTTTACTTTGAAAGGTTGGATATTGGTTGAGTTAATTTCATAATAACTAAAGAAGGGAGTTTGATGGATGGCCGATATTTGATCACCACCAAATGTAATTTCTCCATGAAAACTACCACATACCCAAAAGGAAGAAGCAGATGACTTGATAACCTTTTTTATGACTGAAGTTCCAGTCCCTCCTTGTTGTAGAACTTGCTTTTTTCCCAATGTCATTGAATCAAGAGAGACAGTGACAAGAGCAGCAAAAGGAGTCAAGTCACACTGAGTTGGAAGAGTCAACACGGACTTATCTTCAAAGGTTAATATGTCAGGATTCTCCTGTGAGTTAGAGCATTCAGCGTAACCAACTACAATTAATGTATTTTCTATTTTCTGAATGTTGTCAGCTAAACTTGTTATACTACTCCATGCAACGAACTTGTCTGCGGAATGTACAACATAAACACCAATGGCTAGTTGTGCTGGATCTACGCATAATCTCAGAATGAATGATCCTGGTGGAAATGTTATCTTCTGTTCAAACTGAGTGATCTCTACCGAGCCTGCATTTCTAACAGTAACAAAAGGCCCGGTTACTGATGCAGTCGGTGAGAATATTTCTAATTGTTTTGATGAATAGATACATTCCTTTGCAATAATTTCATTTGGGGGACCATACCATGCATACCATACCAAACACACAAAGAAGGACGGATTCAACCCATCCAATTTGGTCTTTTCATTAAAGAAGATTGTTCCTGATTGAAAACCATTGAAAATACCCCAGTAACCGCTGTAACCAAAATAGTTTGGATAAGAATCAAACAAAGTCCTGAAATTATCTTCAGTTCCAACAGTAGATACAACTCCTATGACTGGCTTACTCGCCTCAATGCTGTGCTGAGTACATAAGCAATACCACAATACAATAATCATCAAGGATGCAATTGTTGCTGTCCTTCCCGGTACTATTGCCATTTTTTTTTTCTTCACAAAAGCTTCTTTGGGAAGTGATGTTGTTGTGAAAACTCTGAATGTGTGTGGGCACCTTAGTAAGAGGTGAAATTTAGTTCATACAATTTTTACACAGTATACCCAAATAAAGGGCGGCTTAACAGTGTGCTCGTTAAATTTGTAGTATTAATAAGGTCTATATTACCGAATCGTGCGGATGTATTTGCAAAGAAAGCAATGTATGTCGTTGTGTTTGACGACATATACTTGGGGTTTGGTTATCGTTTCGTACTCATTGGATCTTTATTATTACTGAAATACATAATCAAAGATATACATCATTAAATAGGTAACAATCTCAGCTATCCAGTGGGCTATAGATTGTGTATAGTTTCTTATCTAATTATTGAGATAATCAGCAATTCCTCACTCAATATATTGCGATTTTACTATTCCTAGGGAAAGGTAAAAGAATGATCAGAAATTGATCAATAAAAAATATATGTCATACTAGAGATGATTTGCTATCGATTGGTGTTTCAACTTTTGGATTTTACTAAGTAATTATTGAATTATCACCGATTAAATATTTAATTATTCTTGTTGGAAATCCTTGCTGGTAATTAAAGAGAGTTGATTCATTCTGTCTTGGTTGTATGGAGGTGAGACTTGCGGACGCTCTTAAATTGTCGGTTGGAAAAGTAACATACAAAAAAAATGTTGTGATGTCTCCTCTCTCTTCCTCATTCAATCATCTCATCATCATCTCATCATCATATCATCATCATATCATCAGCATATCATCAGCATATCATCAGGAGTTGTTTCATAATAATTTTAAAAATATATATTGATTGGAATTATTTGGAAGATGATGTTTCGGAATTGGAATAATATTTATTTGGAAGTTATTATAATGGTGGAGGTGTGGTGCCTTTGGCACTCACTTCCACCAAGTTGCAAAATTAATTG